GGTGCCGAGCCCCCCCTGAGCCTTGCCCTGAACCTTATCCTGTTCCCTGAGATCCAGAGCGTGCTCTGCTCCTATGTGTCCTGTCCAGCCCTGACGGGAGGGTGGAGCAAGGTTCGGGGCTGGGGAGAGCTGGAGAGGTGGGGTCAGCCTGGGGTCAGCCTGCCCCCTTCTTAGGAGCTGGGTGGCCTCACGTAGGGTGCTGAGCCTCTACAAGCGTCGCCCTCCTCATCCACGAAGTGGTTGTGATTATACCTGCCCCCTCACGGCACAGGGCTCGGAGGAAGCCGAAACCTGCTAGGCACGCTTAGCTGTGGGCCGCCGTGCATTCCCTCTCTGTGCACCAGGCATCTGCCGGCTGTCCATTCAGCCCTCCATGCCGGGCGTCCCGCCAACTCCTGGTGATACCCGAGGAATAGTAGCTGCCGGGGTGGTCGCTGACAGTCTCACCCAGTGGGCGTAATTGCTTTGATGAGAGTACGGGCCCTGTGGGCTTAAAGGGGGGCCTAACCCAGCCTGGGGTGACCAGGGAAGGCTCCCTGGAGGAGGTGGTGACTGAGCCAGGCCTTAAACAGTGTGTGAAAAGTAGTCGTTCATTTTTCCACCTGTGTGATTAACAAGCATCTATACCATGTCTACAGAGTACGAATGCCAAGTCAGGTGTTGGGAAAACGAGGGCACATCAAGTGTTGGCCCTGGGAGATTTGAGGCCAGGAAAGTGGCGAGGATGTCTCAGACCTCCCTTTCCAGGCTGCACGGAGCCAGGGCATGGCCAGGCTGGGTGAGGGAGTGCTGGCAGGGCTGTCCCCACGTGAGGGTCAGAGCCAAGGGCCCGCACCCCGTTAGGTATGGGAGAGCCGTGTGGCGGAGTAGCATGCAGCCAAGAACGAGAGGAGGTGGCGCTCCCTCTGGTTTGGAACGACCTCCAAGATACATCGTTAAGTGAAAAACAAAGTGCCAAACTTGCAGGATGGGGCCATTATGCTACATACGTGTGCACGTGTGTGTGTGAGCACACGTACGGGACGCCCAGGACACGGACTGGAAGTCTCTCACCCACCTGAGACCCTGCTCCTGGGAGGATGTTTGCTGCTCATCTGAGGAGCCCACGGGGTTGCAGAAAGCCAGCAGGGCCGGGGGGAGAGAGGACAGGCCCAGAGCAGGCAAGCACGGCTGGGGTGAAGGCCCCCTCCGACACGGGGTTGCCGCGTGGCATTGAGGTGGATGCTTGCTATATGTATACAAGCATGTGATGGGGTGTTACTCAGCCATGACCCGCTCCGCCGCGCATGAGCCTCGAAGACACGCTGAGTGAAGGAAGCCAGGCACAGCGTGTGAGTCCGTCCACAGGCAGTGTCCAGAGCAGGCCAATCCATAGAGACAGAGTACGTGAATGGTCGCTGGGGGCCGCGGAAGCGGGAGTCAGTGATGTTGGGTCTGGGGTTTTTCGGGGGATGATGGAAATGCTTTGGAACTAAACAGAGGTAGTGGTTACACAACACCGTGAAGGTACCAAATGCCGCTGAATTGTCTACTTTAAAATGGTCAGTTGTTTTTCTTTTTTTTTTTTCATTGAAGTGTAGTTGGTTTACAGTGTTGTGGTAATTTCTGCTGCACAGCAAAGGGACTCCGTTGTACATCTATATTCTTTTCCATCTTCTTTTCCATCCTGGTCTATCACAGGATATTGAACAGAGCTGCCTGTGCTCTACAGTAGGACCTTGTCTACCCATCCTCTGTGCAAAGACATAGCTGCTCACCCCAAGCTCCCACGGTCCCCTCCCCCTTGGCAACCACAAGTCTGTTCTCTATGTCTGAGAGTCTGTTTGTGTTTCAGAGATGTGTTCACTTGTGTCATATTTTAGATTCCGCATATAAGTGATATCATATGGTATTTGTCTTTCTCTTTCTGACTGACCTCACTTAGTATGATAATCTCTAGGTCCATCCATGTTGCTGCAAATGGCATTATTTCATTGTTTTTTTTATGGCTGAGTAATATTCCATTGTGTATATGTACCACATCTTCTTTATCCATTCTCTGTCGATGGACATTTCGGTTGTTTCCACGTCTTGGCTGTTGTGAATAGCGCTGCTGTGAACATAGGGGTGCATGCATCTTTTTGAATTACAGTTTTGTCTGGACATATGCCCAGGAGTGGGATTGCTGGATCATATGGTAGCTCTATTTTTAGTTTTTTTTTTTTTATTTTTTTTTTATTTTTTTTATTTTTTTTTATTTTTAGTTTTTAAGGAACCTCCATATTGTTTTCCATTGTGACTGTACCAGTTTACTGTCCCAGTAACAGTACAGGAGGGTTCCCTTTTCTCCACACCCTCTCCAGCATTTATTATTTGTAGACTTTTTAATGATGGCCATTTTGACGGGTGTGAGGTGGTACCTCATTGTAGTCTTGATTTGCATTTCTCTAATAATTAGCGACGTTGAGCATCTTTTCATGTGCCTGTTGGCCACCTGTATGTCTTCTTTGCAGAAATGTCTATTTAGGTCTTCTGCCCATGTTCAGTTGGGTTGTTTTTTTGTTGTTGAGTTGTATGAGCTGTTTGTATATTTTGGAAAGTAAGCCCTTGTTGGTCGCATCATTTGCAAACATTTTCTCCCATTCTATAGGTTCTCTTTTCATTTTGTTTATGGTTTCCTTTGCTGTGCAAAAGCTTGTAAGTTTAAGTCCCATTTGTTTATTTTTGCTTTTACTCCTGTTGCCTTTGGGGGACTGACCTAAGAACACAGTGGTATGATTTATGTCAGAGAATGTCTTGCCTCTATGCTGTTCTAGGAGTTTTATGGTTGTCCTCTCCTACATTTAGGTCTTTAAGCCATTTTGAGTGTATTTTTGTGTATGCTGTGAGGGTGTGTTCCAGCTTCATTGATTTACGTGCAGCTGTCCCGCTTTTCCAGCACCACTTGCTGAAGAGACTGTCTTTTCTCCATTGTATATTCTTGCCTCCTTTGTCAAAGATTAATTGACCATAGGTGTGTGGGTTTATTTCTGGGCTCTCTGTTCTGTTCCATTGATCCATATGTCTGTTTTTGTGCCAATACCATGCTGTTTTTATTACTGTAGCTTTGTAGTATTATCTGAAGTCTGGGAGCGTTATGCCTTAAAATGGTCAGTTTTATGTTATGTGAATTTTGCCCCCATAAGTTCTTTTAAAAGAATTCAAACGTCCCGATGACTGTGCATGTAAGGACGGCCACCCCGGGCCCCAGGCTGCTGACCGGGGAAGAATGGGGCCCAGGCAGCCATGAATCTGCATTTCTAGGTGAAACCTCCTGTTTTGCAGATGGGAGCAACTGACTGTGGGTCTTTGACCCACCCATGGGGGCCGGTTCCAGGTCACGGCCACCAGTCTGTGGCCGCTGCCCAAGAGCATCCACCCTTGGTCCAGAGTGCCTTGATGGCTGCCCACAGGCCTCGGGCTTTGCTGGGAAACAGGAGGGCAGATGGAAAAGTACCCCCGGTGGGGAGAGTCCCAGACAAACTGAAGACGCTGGTGGTTTTCAAAGACACGAGCTGCAGCCTCTTAAAGTTCCCCAGGCCTCCCTGCCATGGATAAAATGCTTTCTGGGGAGATTGCAAATGTTTGCTCTGGTGGGACTTTGTTATAAATGGACTTGGTTTTGTTTAGTTGGTTACGGTTTTATTTGGTTAAAAAAACCCAGCCCTACAAGATCATCTTAACTGAGGACTCCATGTTAATCCAAAAAAACCAAGAAAGGGCAAACAAGATGGACCAGTAGTCCGACTGCCCGCTGCACGTCGGGTCTGGCTGCAAAGCCCTTCATCGGACCAGCCTGTCATAGTTGCTACCGTTTCTGGAGTGCCTACTGTGTACCAACCGTCCCGGTCAGCCCTGTATGGTTCCTTCTTTCTAATCCTCCCAAAGGCTTCACAAGGCAGGAACTGTTGTTGCATTGTTTTAAAGATGAGCAAACCGAGGCCCAGAGAGGTGAAGGTGCTTGCCCCAGGTCACACAGATGGGAGGTGGCAGGGATGGACATTGTAGCCTGTCTGGCTCTTTCAATGGTATCTCACAGCCACTTAGGCTGAAAACCAGACCTGCCCTCAGAGAAACCCTCACGGAGGCCACCTGGTCACTGAGATTTCTGGGGCGCTGAGCAGAGCCCTGTGTCTGCCAGCGAGCCTGCAAGGCCACCGGTGAGCAACCGTCCCCTGGTGCCCAGACGGCAAGGTGTCACCCAGGCCGAGGCCAGAGAAAGGCCATGTGCAGACCCCCCTCCCTGGCCACTTAAACCCGCACCCATGCATCCCATTGGGGTGGCTTTCCACAGCAGATGCAACCCCTGCTCCCACCAAGGACCCCTCCCTAACAATCCACCCAAGAGGGAAATGTCTTTGAAATTCCTGATCTTGAGAAGTCCGTTTGCTTTGCTCCTGGGCTTTGGGGGAGATGGTCAGCCCATCTTTGAGAAATCTGCTTCAGATGAGCCCCTGACCCACCCAGCCGATGACCTTTGTGTCTGTGCACATATGTTAACCCCTCAGCATCTTCTCTGAGCCCGGTAGGCTGACACGTGAGCTTCACCAGCTCTTCCAACCCCAGGGTTCTCTGATTTTAACCAGCTCCAATTTTGAGTTCACTGACAAGCCTTTCCCTGCCCCAGGGCCTTTGCACAGTCCTTCCCTCCCCCAGGGGCCCTCCCTGATTCTTCTTTCTCTGTGGTACTCTTGCTAATGCTCCCTCTCCCTGCTGCTGTTCTTTTATAGCACGAATCACAGCATATAGTTATACATTTAATTTCTTATATTTGTGCTTACTGAGGGCAGAGGCCTCGCCAGCACACAGTAGGTGTTCAGTAAATATTTGTGGACCGGCCGGCTGGATGCGCCAGTGTTGTAGGAATTTTTCTGTGGCCTGAGCAGTGTGCAGTGCCCATGCATTTGCTATCCCATGGCGCCCTCTGATGGACATTAGGCAGATGCCAGGCTGAGACTAACCCCTTTCTCCTCTCCTTTCAGCATCGTCCCCCCAGCCCCGTGCCACCTGGGACCTGGCCACCAAGGTGTGGCCACCATCGGTGACGTGAGTACATGAAGCAGCAGAAGTGGGTCTTCCTGGAGTTCTGTGAGCTGCTTCTGGATGACCAGGTGAGTTGGAAGTCAGCCAGCTTCTCATTATTATCAATAATATTGTCATTGTTATTAAATAGCGTTAGTAATGTCCCACATAAAACACTCTTGTGCGCCACCCGTGGGTCCCTGCGCAGCCTCTCCCTGTCGTCGCCTGGGTCCCTTCCCTCTCTCCTCTTCCAGGTGGTGATGGAGACCGTGGTGGGCATGTCCCTGTCATTAACCCATCTCCGTTGCCCCTGGATTTGCATTAAAGCTCATGGGGAAAAGGTCAAGTGAGTTTATATCCTGAGCCAGGGAATGTGATGCTGTGGGACACACATCCCCGACACTCAGAGAGCAGAGTCTGAATATCCGAGGAAGCCCACAAGTGCCCGGTTGGGCCTGGCACCTGCACACATGCTGAGCACAACAACACAGAGGCTTCCGGCGTGGGGGCGGGCGCAGCTCCGGGAAATCCACAGCCATTGCTCAAGTCTGAGGGAGGCGCGAATCAGCCTGCAGACAAGGGTGAGGTTCATCTGGCGTATACTTGCGGTTCAAACCCTGAACTGAAAATATTATCGAAAAAACCTCGGTGAAGGTTTTATTGTTCTCGACTCCTCTGTTTATTCAAGAAGTTATTATTATTTTTTTTTTACTGTTTTTACTTTAAAAAATAAAAACAGAGAAGGATCTAGGTTAGAAAAAAGTGCTTTTATTCTAGCCAAAACGCCCGTGGGGAATCCCTCCTTTCTCCCTACCTGTGAGAACCTGGGCACATCCTGTAACCTTGATGAAACTCAGTTGTTTTGGTCTATAAAATGGGTATACTGTTACCTGCCTGAAGGTCGTAGGGAAAATGCAATCAGATCATGTATAGGAAGGCATTTTGGAAACTGGAAACGTCAAAACTGTGTCCTGGCGATCATTACTATTCTTTAACCTTGCACTTGGAGCTCTTCTTGGAACTCAAGCAAGTTCTACCAGCCTGGGGACGGTGCTAGTTTGTCAGAGGGCTGGTTGCTGCCTGTGAGCCTCAGCTTCCTGGTGCCCACGGGCCTGTCGACCTGTGGCTAGATGGCACGTCGAGCTTGGCCGTCCCATGCCGGGCACCTGCTCGGGAGAGGATTTCAGGGCTGGTGCGCCTGTGGACTCAGGAGGGCACTGTGTCTCGAATGAGCCGGAGCTTGTGTACCCAGAGGACCATGTCCGCTTCAAAGTGGGCCCCGGCCACCTCCGCACTGATTTGATGATGTCTCCGGACCTTAAGACAGGCCTGCCACTTAGGGGAAGTGGCTTCAGAGCTGGGTGACCCCTTCCTCGGGGTGGCTGGGAAGCAGCCAGGGTCACTGCAGGGCGGCAGGTCAGCGAGGACCGCCCTGCGCTGCCGCAGGTCTCACCAAACTCCAGCAGCAGCCGGGATGCTAGCTCTGCAGGACTGCTGCTCTCCCCTGCCACGTGACACCGCCGAAGGGCCCCCCCCCCCCCACTGACCGACGCGTTTCCTGCTTAAATAATCGGCCTTTTCTTGCCTTTTCCTTCGGCCTGTATGAGCCGTGTCACCGTCCAGGCTTGTCTCGTTAAGCCACAGGCAGTCCTCAGAATGAGGAGGCTCTAAACACCCTTCTAAAGTAGACGGCAAGCGGCTCAACTCAGTAGCCTTCTTTCTGGGTCAGGTACTCAAAAACACTGTTTATTCTACAAACCTATGAGGACTTAAAAATTGAGATTTTCTGAAAGGCTCGTCACCTCAGCAAATCCAAATGCTCTCCTTGCTCTCTGTTCCCCTCCTGTTTCGACTTTATACAGACGTGCCTCTGTGCCCGTGCATGTCATCCTGACATAGTGTAACCGAGGGTTGTCCTCTTCACTCACACAAGCGAAATACGTTTCAACGTTGCCGAATGGTTAATACTTTGACTGCGCAGCTACCATAGGGTAATTAACGCTTCCCATGTTGGCTGACATCTAGACTTCGCTACTCAAAGTGTGGGCCACGGAGCAGCAGCAACAGCACCACCAGGAGTTGGTTAGAAATGCAGAGTCTCAGGCCACACCCAGGACCTGCTGAATCGGAATCTAAAGTTTACCCGGATGCAGGGAATTTGTGTGTCCATTAAAGTGTCAGTGTGTAAAATGTTGGATGTATTTGGACAACACGGTGATGTCCTCACGAGAAGAAGGCCTTGCAGGGCGTTCACTTCTGTGGGTTCTCGTGTGTAAACGACTCTTGAGAAGAACCTGGGGGCTTCAGGGACCCAAGTAGATGTAAGTGCTTGCTCCCAGCTCATCTCCAGTCAGCCTGCAAAGTCATGCTCCTTTGGGATGTTCCAGCACTGGAAAAGAAATCACAACCATAGAGCCCAGTGTCTCTTGCCCACCTGGGTGGAGAGAGGAGATGACCAAAACATGGGCCAGATATTTTTGGGAACGATGGGCTGGCGCCACAGGAAGGGAGACGGCATAACGGTGGCAACAGCGAGTTTCACGGGTTGGAATTAAATGTCATCGCCGATTCCTGCAGCTGTTTAGTCTTACCCGGAGCCGCTGTGTTTGCGTTACTTGGAAAACGTGTGGTGACCACGTGACCTGCAACCAGGTCGCCGTTCCTGTGGCGCCATCTTTAAAGCTCTGGGAGGTCCACGTGGTCGGGAGCAGCTCGTCACCCTTGGTCTGGGGCTGGGTAGGAGCCTTCATTTCTCCCTTCTTGACTCGTTCCACACGATGTCCTCAAGGACGACAGTGAGAACGAGGAGATGCAATAAAAGAAGCAGCATAATTAAACCCCAAACGTGTCATTTGGTTTGAACATTGCTTCTTTATCAATTTGAGGTCTCAAGTACCTCCCCCCCAAATTCCTCAAAACGAAGTGTGTGCCACTAATGCTTGCATTTGCAACGCCCAGAGCAGTGATGCCGACCATTAACTCTCTACCAGACCCACCACAGCACTCACCTCGGCTGGCGTTTTCAAGTGGTGTGCTGTTTCTTCGTGGTTTAGTCTTGGTAGGTTTCTGATTCTAGGAATTGATCCTCTTCTTCTGGGTTATCCAGTTTGCCGGCCCGTAATTGTCTGTAGCGGTCTCTTGTGACCATTCTTCTTCCTCTGGCATCGGCTATAATGTCTAGTTTTTCATCTCTAGTTTTATTAAGTCTGCACAGATCTATAACTAATACAGAGATTGAGTCAGTGATGAAAAATCTCCCAACAAAGTAAAGTCCAGGAATAGATGGCTTCACTGGTAAATTCCACCAAACATTTAAGGAAGAATTAATGCCATTCCTTCTCAAACTCTTTCAAAAAACTGAAAAGGTGGAAACACTTCCAAAGTGATTTTATGAGGCCAGCATTACCCTGATACCAAAGCCAGCGACACCACAAGAAAAAAACTACAGGCCAATATCCCTGATGAACATGGATGCAAAAATCCTCCATAAAACACCAACAAACTGAATCCAACAGCACATTAAAAGAATCGTATGCCATGACCAAGTGGGATTTATCTTTGGAATGCAAGGATGTTTCAACAAACAAAAATCAATTAATGTGATACACCATATTAACCGAATAAAAGATAAAAGATATGATCGCCTCTATAGAAGCAAAAAAAAAAAAAAAAAGAAGCATTTGACAAAATTCAGCCCCCTTTCGTGATAAAAACTCTCAACAAGCTAGGAATAGAAGGCAAGTAACTCAACATAATAAAGGCTATATATAAAAAGCCCACAATTAATATCATACTCAATAGTGAAAAACTGAAAGCTTTTCCTCTAAACCAGAAACAAGGCAAGGATGCCCGCTCTCACCTCTTCTATTTAACATAGTACTGGAAGTCCTAGCCAGAGCAGTTAGGCAAGAAAAAGAAGTAAAAGGCATTCAAATTGGAAAGGAAGAAATAAAATTGTCCCTGTTGGCAGACAACATAATGTTGCAAACTCTAAAGATGCCACCAAAAAACTGCTAAAACTAATAAATTCAGTAAAGTTGCAGAATACAAAATCGGCATGCAAAAATCAGTTGCATTTCTATACCCTAACCACAAACTACCTGAAGGAAATTAGGAAAACAATCCTATTATACAATGGCACCAAAAAGAATAAAATACTTAGGAATAAACTTAACTAAGGAGGTAAAAGACTTGTATACTGAAAACTACAGAACGCTGATCAAAGAAATTAAAGAAACAAACAAATGGAAAGACATCCATGTTCCTGGACTGGAAGACTTAATATTGTGAAAATGTCCATACTACCCAAATATATCTACAGATTCAGCACAATCCCTATCAAAATCCCAACAGTATTTTTTACAGAAATAGAGAAAACTCTAAAATTCATATGGAACCACAAAAGATCACAAAGAGCCAAATCACTCTTGAGAAAGAACAAAGCTAGAGGCCTCACACTTTCTAGATTCAAAATATATCACAAAGCTGTTGTAATCAAAACAGTATGGTACTGGCATGAAGACAAACATACAGACCAATGGAACAGAATACAGAGCCCAGAAATAAAACCACGTGTGTACGGTCAACTGGTCTTCAACAAGGGTGCCAATGTTACATGGCAGGGGAAGGACAGTCTCTTCAGCAAGTGATTTTTAGAAAACTGGACGTCCACATATCTTATACCACAGAGACTGGACACCTACCTTACACCGCATATAAAACACATCAACTCCAAGTGGGTCAGACTTAAACAAGAGGCCTGAAACTCCTAGCATAGCACACAGGGGTTGAAAACAGTGTCCATAACAACCTGTGCATGGATGTTTATGGCAGCTTTACTCATCATTGCCAAAACTTGGAGGCAAGCACGATGCCCTTAGGTGGACGAATGGATAAACTGTGGCACAGCCGGAGAGCGGAATACTATTCAGCACTAAAGAGAAATGCCCTGTCAAGCCGTGAAAAGACACGGAGGAACCTTAAAGGCATATTACTGTGTGAAAGAAGCCAATCTGAAAAGGCTACTTTATGGTTCCAACTCTATGAGATTGCGGAAAAAGGCAAAACTATGAAGACAGTAAAAAGATCAGTGGTTGCCAGTGTGGGCAAGGGAGTGGAGGGATAGGTAGGCAGAGCACAGAAGATTTCTAGGGCATTGAAAATACTCGGAGTGCCGCCATAATGGTGGATACACAGCATCAGACACTTGTCCAAACCCATGGAATGTACACCACCAAGAGTGAACCTAATGTAACTGTGGACTCTGGGTGCTGATGACGTGTCAGTGTAGGGTCATCACTTCATCAGTGACAAGTGCACCGTCTGGCGGAGACGCTGACAGCGCGGGGAGGCTGTGCGTGTGTGGGGACAGCGGGTATGTGGGAACTCTACCTTCCTCTCAATTATACGGTGCACCTAAAACTGCTCTTAAAAAAGCAGTCTTTTAAAAAAACTCTTGGAAATTAAAACTATCACAGCCTGAATAAAATACCCAATAGAAGAGATAGAAGACAAAGTTAGGTACATTTTCCAGAAAACAGAGGAGACAACGAGAGGAAATCAGAGGAGAGTCTAGGCAGCCCAATGTGTAAAAGTCAGAAAAATAAGAAACTGGAGAGGGTGAAACTCCCAAAGACAGAACACGGCAGTCTTTTTTTTTTTAACTTTATTTATTATTGGCTGTTGGGTCTTCGTTGCTGCGCGCGGGCTTTCTCTAGTTGCGGGGAGCAGGGGCTACTTTTCTTGGCGGTGCGCGGGCTTCTCATTGTGATGGCTTCTCTTGTTGCGGAGCACAGGCTCTAGGCACGCGGGCTCAGTAGCTGTGGCTCGCGGGCTCTAGAGGGCAGGCTCAGTAGTTGTGGTGCACGGGCTTAGCTGCTCTGCAGCATGTGGGATCTTCCCGGACCAGGGCTCGAACCTGGGTCCCCTGCATTGGCAGGCGGATTCTTAACCACTGCGCCACCAGGGAAGCCCCTGGAACACAGCACTTTTGTCAGAGCCGAGGAGCACGTGTCTAAGGTGGAAAGGGTCCACCAAGCATCAGCACAAGGCATCAAGGCAGAGGACTGTTGACTTTGAGGAACCAAGGACTAGAAAGAAGATAGTGAAGGCTTCCTGAGTTTTAAAAAAAAAAAAAAAAAAGGTCGTCTGAGACAGGAACCGGAAGTTCCCGGACCCTCTCGGCGGCAAAACTGGGAGGCCGCAGTGGGGGTCTCCAAAGTACACAGAGACCCCGTAATTTCCACGCCTGCCATCAGTCCTGGGGCAGAGCCATTCCTTCCGTAAAGATCAGCACCCGGCTCGGGGAGCGCTCGCTGACCCAGCCGCACACCTGCAGTTGGCCGTAACTTCCCTGTGTCCTGTGCAGGGAGCGATCCGGTTTCATACTGGATCCTCAGGCAACACTGTGGGCAGCTGGCCTGTCACTGAAGGCTCCAGAATGCTACTTTGGGATCAACAAGGATTTTACGGGCACCCCGCCCACTGTTCCCGGGCTTTTCCCAGGCCGTCTCCCCTTCAGGATACTTCTCTCTGCTTAAGCTGCCAAACCCAAATCTAACGGAAGACAGGATTCAGCCACCTTCCTAGTTGGGTCATCTTTTCATTTTCCATTTTAATGCAGACGTCATCTGAGATGAGCCTATAAAACATTCCAACAGGAAGAACACAAAACCGCGGCACAATTCTGCAGAGCCACAAACACAAGCCTGAGGGTGGCTGCCGGCGCAGCGGCGTGCTCGGGGACGTGTCTGCAAGGCCGGCCAGTGCCTCCCTACGTGGCGGCCACCCTCGCCTCGCCTCGCCTCTCTGGGTCCCTCCCTTGAGTGCAAGTACTAGACACACTGTTGAATGAAGTTGTGGGCACCTGAGATGCTGGATGGAAGAGCGTGATCTTTACAATTTTTATTTCCAAGTGCACTAAAAAAATGAAGGGATGTTTAGGACAAAGCTAAGTGAGATCAGTTGCGTCGACTGGAAGTAAAATGTTAAATGTGGAGACGGCGACCTTTGGGAGAGCGGCTCACTTGTCCCCGGCGAGGATGGGGCTCTGGAAGCAGCAGGGGGGACCGCAGCGGCCCGGGTGCCGGTGTCAGAGCCGAGCACGGAAACACGCCAACGACCCACCAAGAACCGCGCCACTGAACAAACGGCTGGAGAATGTCAACTGGTGGCTTTATTTCTTAAAAAAGTTACATTGAAAGAAGAGGTTGAAAAGTCAAGTTTACTTGATTTGCACGTATTTGCCAAGTCTCACAGGATCCAACCACTTTGATAATTGTTTTTATTGATAACCAGGATATACATATGAAAAGCCTCACGTTGAAGCCCAATACACACGTCCAACCCAGACGACAGATACTGCAGAACAGTGTCGGGAAACCCATCAGTCTCCTGTTCTGTTAGTCCTCCGGCTGCGACTCGGCGCCCCCGTCACGGCCCACATCCTGCAGTGACTGACTCCATTTCACACCCGTCCCACAGCTCGCTTACTCAGCTAGACTGCTGTCCAATAGGCCCTTTGTGGTTCTGCGCCAGCAGTGGTAGAAGCCCTGATCAGGACAGGGGACGGGTAATGCAAACGAAAGCAAAACAGCTCACAGATGAGCAGAGAGGCGTGGAGACCAGGAGGGAGACGCCCACTCTTCTCAGCGTGGGACGTGGGCTCAGGGAACACCGCCCCCCCCCCCAAGACCTTGTCAGAGATGGCTTCCTCCTCAGTCCCGCGAAACACCGACAAACCAGGCAAGTTTAAGGCGAGTCCCCAGGGAGGGGAGCTGTTTGCTTTCTGGCATAATTTTAAGCTCTGCACCAAGGGTCCTATTTAATCGCTTGTGACGTGGGTAAAGAAACAAAATGATGCCCCAAAAAGGTAAAAACTGAAAAATCAAACAAGCTGTCGCCATCCTGAATAGTCTGCAAGCGAGGCCCACGGGGCCCAGGGGCTCCTGCCTCGCGGCCCCCTCACCTCGTCGGGGCCGCGTGCGCCCCCTGCAGGCCATCTGCGCGAGCATCAGGCTGCAGGTGCCAGGCCGCCACAGACGCTGCTCTCCTCTCACGGAGGGGCCGTTTACACGCTGCTCATTGGGCCAGAACCAGACAGGTCAGTGCCAAAGCCCTCTCACGCACGCAAGATTTTTGTAAAAAAAATTAAAACAGGAGGGCAACAGAAGACCACACAGGAATGATTGTTCTTTGGATTGAGATATTCTCCAATATGCAATACATTCATAGTAAACCCCACGGGAGGGGGGACCCCGCGCAGCTCTCCCCTCTTCCCTGAAACGTCGGTTTCTAAAAAACAGCTTGTCTGTGGCACACGCCCATAACGTGTTATGTTGCCTGAACAACACGGCCCACTTTAAAACACACGTGCACGCACACACACAGACACACGTGGACTTGCCCACAGCGTCAGGGCCCACCAGCCCCGGGCGGGGAGCGCACCTGCAGCCCTGCTGCTCCGTGCAGCGCCTGTGGCTCCTGCATCCAGGCCCCTCCTGGACCGAGGCAGACCCTCAGGAATCACGGGGCCAGCGGGAGCTCCCCGAAGCCACCAGCCGCAGAATTCCTGGTCACTGGCTTGGCTCGTTTTCTTCATGAGTGAGAAAAGCAGCTCAGCACACAGGATTTTAATAACCCGTGTAACAACCCACGAAACTTCTTAAAAAATGCCAAGTACGTTAACAGAACTCCTAACTGTGCAGGAAGATAATGACATTTGGCTTCTCCGTGCGGCCACGTCCCTTTGTTACTGGACGGTGACACGGATCAGAGCGCCACCCAGTTAGTGTGGGAACTCCGCCATCTGTGACCGTAAACGTATAAACTCTGCTTGCTGCAAGCAACTGCTCTCCACTTGCCCTACTGGCCACAGATGAGCTGCTGATACCCTTTCTGACCCCAAATAGATAAAGTCCGTGAACAAGTCCCAGCACGATGAGAGAGCCTCACACCGAGAACTCAGGGCCCCCTTTCCTAGGTCTCGTCTGCAGTCGCCTGAATCGGAAGCCGACGAAGGGGTTCATCCAGAGCAGCGAGGGGGGGCCCCCGAAGACAGACTTCATCCCTTCCCACCGCAGCCTCCGCTCCCACGTCGGCTTCTCACTCTTCAGCCTCTCAATCTCCTGGGGGAGAAAGAAAAGCAAGTGGGCGGCAGCGCCAGGAAAACCCTCAGCAGGTACGGGTCAGGCGAGCGGTGACAACAGGGGAAGCACCACCAGACTCACACGTCCCTCCGCACGTGGGAACGAGGCGTCGGGGTCAGCAGCGGGGGCTCTCCTGGCACCAGTCCCGCACCCCCGAGCACAGCCAGGCTGCAGCCACCAGCGGGGTGGACAGCCTAGGCAGCCCCAGAGGCAAAGGGGGAGCCAGCCCTCCGGGCCAGGGATTGTCTTTTTTTCCACATACTATATTATTACAAACATTGGTGAAGCGCCTGCTCTGGGCCTTCAGTTCAAAGACATGAAGGCGACCAGCTCCCTGCAGGAGCTGCAGCTTCCAGGGGGCGGGGCCTCCTAGAAACGGAGTGTGCCGGCTCTCCCTGCCTGGCTCTGTTGACTCTCACATCACAGGTACGCTCGAAACCCGAGCTGCACGCAGCGAGGGGGGCGCGTGCAGTGATGCTGTCGCGGCCCCTCGGGGCTGCCCCGTCCACCTCCCGGGTAACACGCGGGCCCCGCTGTCCACAGCAGTGCTGCCCGCCGGCTCGTGCCCGCACCAAGGCCGCAGCAGACACAGCAGACGAGGAGCGTACCGTTTCATCATTGCATATGGAGTGGATCTGGGTGCCGAACATCACTGCGGTGAAAGTGAAAAACAGCAGACCCTCAAGGCACAGGAAGACCAGCAGGATCACAGTGACTGGAGGTGAGAAACCACTGCATTCTGTGAACGAGAAGAGCTGGCTGTGGCCGGACATCGGAGCGCGGCGAGCGGCCCCGGCTCTGTGCCGCCCTCAGGCCGGCGTCCACGGAGGAAGGAGCTCGTTTCGCAAACAGGCACACCCGCTGTCCACCAGGGGCGGGAGGCAGCCCTGCCAGGCAAGAACCCACACCACCGCTTCCTGGTCGGCAGATGCGGAAGGTTCTGTATTACCCCGGGTTTCTACTGAGACCGTATTCGTGTACAGCGCTGCGTACTAAGACACAGCAAAAGCCAGAAAAGATGAGAGTCGCGTGTGCCTACACCTGTGCGCAGGCCTCACTCGGGGCGCACACCCAAGGCCAGGGCCGCCCAGTTTGCGCCTGCCTGGCTACACCCGCGGGACGACTCGTACTCAGCCACGCATGCTCGACCAGCCAGAGCGCACACAGGCCTGCTGGGAACAACACGCACGCTCACCCAGTCTCAAGAACCTGCAGGAACTTTCAGCTCACTAAGGAGGACCAAGTGCATGTACACGGCTTCATTATAGCAAATGGCAGTGTGGGAACTGTCCCATACTCCTTTCTTAAAAAGCTCAATTAACTCCTAAAATAACCGAGACGATTTCCTTCGAAACTGGAGGATCCCTTCTTCCTCTGCCTCCCCTCTCCCCCCACAGCGTGCACGTGCAGGGGTCCTGCGCCTGCGCTTACCAGTCCACTGCCCTCGGACGCAGGCGACGAACTGCAGCCCGCAGAGCACGAGCGCGTGCACGGACGCCAGCGCGATGTACATCTGTGGGGAGACACCCGTTAGCCCATGCGAGGACGAAAGGCCGCCGAACCGTACGTTTACTCCTGATCTCATGGGTCAGTGAAAATGAGTGAGGGAAGGAGTAACAGCAGCAGCTGACGTCCGCCTCGCCAGGACCACACTGGACCAAGCACAGAAATCCACATGGGGAAATACGTTCTACCACTTCAGCAAGAGCCTATTAACAACTGGGGTTCAAGGTATCTGGAGAATTAATCACAGTAAAACACCCAGAATAACACAAGCAACGTACACGCATCTGATGGACTACTTCCTACCAGTGACAGCACAGGTATAATTTGAGTCCCAGAGAAGAGGCTGCAGGGCTGACGTCAGAATAAACTTACTCGCTCCAGGTAAGATTCCAGATAAAGAACTTAGTACAAGTCACTCACTCCATGAGTATCTTTACTCACCGTGAAGAGCACGAAAAATCTCTGATTCTTTTCTCCGACACAATTGTTCACCCAGGGGCAGTGATGATCCATTTTCCGAATACATCTTTTGCAAATACTGAAAAGGAGCAGTTAGATTTTCACTATTCCATGCTCGGAGGAAACACCGCCCAATGAAGACAGTACTGGGAAGAAGCCACCCGGGGGCCTCCTGCCCTGTGGAAGGGGTCCCAGCAGCACTGGGTTCTCCGGCTGCACCGGGGAAGGGCTCCCTCCAGTGGTGGGCACTTGGACTGCACTATGAAGGGTGTCTGCAGATTGGGCACTCAACATGCCCTGGGGAAGCGGTGCCTGCAGTAGTGGGGGGCTCAGCCCCAAGTAAGGGGTTACAGCAGTGGTGGGTCTATGGCTACTGGGGAAGGGCTCCCTGTAAGGGTGGGTGTGGGTGAACAGACTGCCCTGGGGAAGAAATCCTTCAGCGTGGGCTCTGCCTGTGCCGGGGTCCCAGCACCGGTGGGTGCACTGGCTGCCGCAGATAAGGGGTCCCTGCAGTGCTGGGCACTCGGGTCGCCCTGGGGGAGGGCCGCCATACCTGCAGTGGTGGGCGCGCTCGGGCTTGATACAGCAGCACTTGGGGCACTTGTAGATCACTTCCCCAGGCTTCAGCTGCAAACTCCCCATGTGTTCTTCAGTAGCATTCCCTTTGGGTACTGCCCCCTGTGGTTTAATAAGGAAGGAAACATCAGTGAATTTAGGAATTAGTCTTGGGTGTTATGTACCATGATATAATTTATCATGCTGTAGTTGCCACTTATATTAATATGAAAAATAACTATTACTCAGGCAGGACCAGAAGTTTTATTTTTCATGAAAAATAACGTGCTTTAAAACGAATTCAAAATACAGAGTGCATCACCCTTCGTAAGGCGAGTCACCTGGGCTTTTCAGACTTCATGCAGGATGTGCCAGAGGGGAGGTGTGTCTGCGAAGCCACTCCAGCCCCAGGGCGCCGGTGTCCCCAGGGTGCCGGCCCTGCGCACACCTCCTGGCGCACAGGTTCCCTATCAGCCGCAGCAGGAGACCTCAGGAAGGACCTTACCTGTGTGTTTGGAGTCGCCAGCCTAGCCAGGAGCGGCCACACACAAGGCCCAACCCCCCCCAGGCGTCCGGCCCCAGGGGCAGGAACAGCGGGGCTGTAAGAGTGTGTCTGCAGGAGCCCTGAGCACTAGGGGAGCTTGAGAGGGACGAAGAATCTGGAAATGGGAGCAAGAGCCGGACAGCCCCGCACACGGGAGGGCAGTGGGCCCGAGTGGAAGGCAGTGGGCCCGAGTAGGCTGCAGAGGGGGAGGAACTGTTCTCTGGGCAGTGGAGACAGGCAGTGGAAATCACGTTTGGAAGATCATTCTGGGCACCATGGCCTGTGGACTGGGAACAAGGCCAGGACCCCGTTTCTGTGCCCCATGGAGCCTGTCCTTCACACAGAAATGCACGTTTCTGGAGAAGGAGCCCCACTGGGAGGGAGGAGTAGAGCAGGGGCGCAGTGACAGGAGAGCACGGGGAGACGGGGGCGCAGTGACAAGGCATGGGGAGATGGGGGCGCAGGGCACGGGGAGACGGGGGCGCAGTGACAGGAGGGCACGGGGAGACGGGGGCGCAGTGACAGGAGGGCACGGGGAGACGGGGGCGCAGTGACAGGAGGGCACGGGGAGACGGCAGGCACACCGCTGGCAGCAGGAGCTGCGCTGGAGCTCTTGAAAGCCCACTGTCTGGCTGCCCGAGCCAACCTCTGCAGGGCCAGGGCCGACACCCACGTCTGCAAAACCCAGCAGGCACGTGTGGAGACCCAGGACCACTGGCTCCAAGGCCCCCGGGGAGCCGGACGGGCGGCCCTGTCACCAGCAGGAGTGAGGTCCCACAACATGCCCCGGGTTCGGGGGGCAGTACAGGAAGGGCTGCAGACAAAATGGGAAGGTTCACTGCCCGACCCTCCCCTGCAGCTGACTGCCCTCCAGATGGGCACAGGTCAGTCCCCCATCCTAACACAGGGAAGCTGCTGTGGTCAAGATCCTGGCCTTAACATGCCACCTGTCTCCTTAATCTACAGTGTAAAAAAAAGTTCAGGGTTTAAAGGCTCATTTTTGAGAATTCACATCAGAAGGTCAGGTCCAGCATTTTACTCAATTTTCCCAACACCCTCTGGAGTCTTTCTGGTCCCTCAACCAAGCCAGGACCCCAGCCCGCCCCACGCCTACCGCCGGCCCCGTGGCACTGTTCTGACTTCAGGAGCTCCCACCTTGTACAGCCGCTCCTGGTGACAGCTCGGGTCACACGTTTCATAAGACGATGGAACGGACCAGGTTTAGCCACACACACGCTGCTTCCACAGTAAAACACGTGACCTGACACACTTCTGCGGAGCACGGCACCCCACGCCGCCCGCTGGTTAGCGCTCCTGCGACTGCTCACGGAGGACAGGTGTGCATCTCGAGGGGGAGACACGTCAGGTAACACGTAACAACCAGCCCGCGTGGAGATGAAGGCATTTTCTGGTCCTTCTTGCGCCTCAGAGCCCTGGGCAGGCAGCCCCTGTCTCCCACAGTGCCTCCCGATGACTCACCCAGGTCCCCGCGGCTGGTGATCTACACTTCGATTCCGTAGTCCGAGATGTGCTCTCGCAGGCAAGACGCGGAGCAGAAGGGCGGGCCGGGGTCCGCTCAGCACCGGGTCTCACCAGGTCACACCAGAGGAGTGCCTGCTTCCTCGGCACCAGTGGGCCCCCCTCCGCTCCATCAAAGAAACCTTCCGAACAGGTGAGGCACATTCCTCAAGCTCGCGTTCCCCTTCGAACCATTTTCAGGGCATGTTTTTTCTAAGACGCATCTTGCGTGTTTCATCTGTGTCTCGCCAGGACTGTGATCCCTGCCATAGCCACGCCTCCTACCCCAGTACGGCCCAGACGGCTCCCCTTTGGCACAGCGTCCTCTTGACAGCTTTTCCATTCGCTGCTGCTGCTGCTGCTGCTGCTGCTGCTGCTGCTGCTGCTGCTGCTGCTAGCACCCGACGTCTCACACCTGCACCCACCCACCTCTGATCCGCCCTGGAGAAGGAAACCAGGTGCCCACTCTTAGGAAGAGTGCTCCCTACCACGGCATACATATATCCAGGGAAGTTATGATTTGCAAAGCACATTTCCCCCCCATATCTTTCCATCTTGACGCCCTGGTTCCCTCCCTGTCATGCATCCTGGATCCCCAGGACCTGACCTAGGGGCACGGGAGCGTGGCGCTTCCCCTAGGTCTACCTACTAATCCATGGTCAGCACAGGGGACGAGGAGCACGTTAAACCACGTACAGGGATATAAGCTGAAAACACCAGAGTGGAAGGAGAAAAATGAGACACGTCAACCAGTCACAAAGGATAGATCTTATTTGGATCCTGATTCAAACAAAAGAATATAAAAGGACTGAGACGACTGAGGAGATGTGGACTCTCACTGGACATAGTAAGGAATTCTTCAACCGCTCCACACGAGCCACTGGCGTTGTAGCCATGCTTTTATAAAGAAGAGCCCTTTTGGGACTTCCCTGGTGGCTCAGTGGTTAAGAATCCGCCTGCCGATGCAGGGGTCAAGCCCTGGACGGGAAGATCCCACATGCCACGGAGCAACCGAGCCCGCGCGCCACAGCTACTGAGCCCACGTGCCACAACTACTGAAGCCCGCGCACCTAGAGCCCGTGCTCTGCAACAAGAGAAGCCACCGCCATGAGAAGCCCGTGCACTGCAACGAAGAGTAGCCCCTGCTCGCCGCAACTAGAGAAAGCTCGCACGCAGCAACGAAGACGCAACGCAGCCAAGAATAAATAAATTTATATTTAAAAAAAAAAAGAAGAGCCCTTTTTAAAGATACACACAGTTATTTACAAATAAAGTTTTATAATGTCTGAGATGTACTTCCAAATATTCTGGGGAGGGAAAGGGAGTAGGCAAGGATATCGCTGACACGAGATTGACCACGAGGTGATAAGCAAGGTTCATGACCCTCTTCTCTCCACTTCTGTGTATAATGAAATGTCTGTAAGAAGTTAACGAAAAAGCAAGGGCTTTGGCAACGGATAACTGTTGAAACCCCAGCTTTGCCTCTTGCCAGCTGTGGGTCTCACCTTCTGACATGATGTACGCCCACCTCCGCAAGGTGCTGGTGGGTTAATGAACGCCCAAAGGCGTCCCAGGGCGCCCGGAACAAAGGCGCCTTAGTGGGCCCTCGGCACCACCTGCTGACAAGGCTGCTGCTTGTAGAACAAGGCTGGGGACAGAGGAGAGCAGGCTCCGGGAGCGGGGCAGCGGGTGGCCTTGCACAATCTCATGCTTCTGACACTGAGACTCACCTCCAGAGGTGAGCTTGCCGCCTTGGGCTCGATCAGCTCCCTGGTCCATCACGTGTCAGAGACCCCATCTTCCTTTCTGCTCCCCCCTCAAAGTACCAGTAACTTCTCAAGAAACAACCCAAGCCGGAGCCAATCCTGGCAAAGACTGACTGTTCCTAATGGCTTAGTAAAAGGACGTCCGGCAGAGAACTGGCCTCACCCCGGGTGGCGTGACGGCTCTCGTTCAGCCCAGACTGGACCCCGTGTTGAAGGTGATCCGCAGAGAGGAGAAAGCAGCCGCCCCGATGAGAGGACGGAGCAGACACCCGACCCCACTGGCCACGCAGTCTCCCCCACACTGTGCGTCTGGAACCCAACGCTCCCAATTCCCTCTGGTGTGAGGGGCCACCGTCTTCACTAGGCGGCAGAGGGCCAGGATGCCAGGAAGGTCAGGGGTGCCTGGGGGCTCAGTCGGCCTCTCCCCTGCCTCCTTCCCGAGAGCTTCCCCACCCCAGTCCCAACGCCTGCCCGCGGCCAGACGCACCCCTGCCCTGGGCTCCTGACACCCCGCGGGGTGCCCTTGGTTCTATTCACACCGACTCCCGGTGGTTTCTGTAACTTGCCACTGGAGTCCTGACGTGTGGCATGGCGGAAGCAGTGACAGCCAGATGTCAAGACGGAGGACGTGAACGGACCGTCCTCCAAAGACCTACAAACGGCCGAGAAGCCCAGCATCATTAGTCATCAGGGAAATGCAAATCAAAACACAATGGGGTACCACCTCACAGCCGTCAGGATGGCTCTCATCAAACACATGAACATCACCTGAGGAGGTGGAAAAGCAGGAACCCATACACTGCTGGGGGGGCTCTAAGGCACTGCAGCCGCCACGAAAAACCACCCTCAGCAGTTCAGCGCAGTGTGAACATACGACACGGTACTTCCACTCCTGGGTCTCTACCCAAGAGAAACGAAACATGGGTCCACACAAACCGGGTCCACAAGGGTTCACGGCAGAACTGTCCATAACAGAAAGTGGCAAGAACCCCGACGGCCACCAACTAATGATGGCTGTAAACAAAACATGGCCCATCCCCACAGTGGAACAGTCTTCAGCCGTGAAAAGGGACGAAGCACTGACAGTGCACGGTGTGGATGAACCCTAGGAACCTCGCGCCGATGAAGGAAGCCAGACGTCAAGCCCATGCATCCCCGTATGATTCCATCTGTGTGATCTGTCCAGAACAGGCCGATCCAGAGACAGAAAGTACATCAGCAGTTGCCTGGCGCTGGGGGACCTGGGGGGTCGGGGCGGTGACGGCTAAGGGCTGCAGGGTTTCTTTTTTGGGTGATGAAAACGTCTAAAATGACTGCGGTGATGTGAATACACGAAAATCATCGAACAAAAGGGTGAATTTTGCGGAATGTGAATTAAATTTCAATTAAAAAATGCTTGCATCCAGGACTCACACCCTCCCCCACCTCACACTCCAGCCCTCAGCGCTTCCATCCAGCTTCTTGGCAGCGAAACAAGTGAAGCGAACACGCCCGCCGGGAGCAGAGGCAGCGCGCTGCACACACCTGCTACCCGACCCCCGGCTCTCGGGGCTTCCTGAAGAGCTGTGAGGCCTCTTCCCGCCGGAGAGGGGCTGTAACAGGAGCGGGACCACGCGGGGAAGGAGGCCTACACTGGTCAGAAGACACAAGCACTGTGGTGAGAGGGGCCCAGCCGGGTAGCCCTCCCTCCCTCGGCCCCACCGGGCACACCGCAGCCTGGCACCTGGGCACCGACGTGGTGGCCTCCTCGCCGAAACGCCTACAAACGATGGACCCAGCCCCGTTTTCAACATGCAGGAAGATGGCTGACACTACCAGGGCTCTTCCTACAGCGAACTTAAAGATAATAGCTAACCTGCAGCCCAAAGAAGTTAAATTAGTTGCGTGTGATTAAAAGACAACTGGAAAGATTCGTAAAGTGGTGAAACCTAGATGCCACATCAGTCCATACTTCAGAGAAACAAAGTATTTAAACTAGAAAGGGGGACTTCCCTGGTGGTCCAGCGGCTAAGGCTCCCAATGCAGGGGGCGTGGGTTTGATCCCTGGTCCGGGAGCTAGATCCCATATGCCACAACTAAAGATCCCGCATGTCGCAACTAAAAAGATCCTGCAGGCCGCAACGAAGATCCTGCAAGCAGCAATAAAGATCCCACGTGCAGCGACTAAGACCCAGCACAGCCAAATAAATAAATAAATATTAAAAAATAAAATAAAATAGGATTTCAGGCATTATTCAGTACACTTTCTTCATCTGAATAAACAGCTCAGTGTAATGTTTTCCATGAACATACCATGACATCACCTCTCTCTGGGCGCTGGGTTCTCTCCAGCGAAGCCACAAACAATGCCACCAGCCTGTATCCAGGCACTTGTGAACCCCGAGGCTGCGGGAGCATGAGGCCCTCCGCCCGGTGCCGCTGGTGCCTCCCCAGCCCACACCCGGCCGAAAACCCCAGCGAGAGGGCAGGTACTCACGGGGTCGGTGAGCATGGTCCTCAAGTGAGAGGACAGGGCAAGCACCGCCAGGCAGTTAAAAACGACTCCATTGACCACGGAGTACCAGAAGTCTTTGGAAGGCAGCAGCATGACAAACGTCACCACGAAGTCCGCGTACACGACCAGTAGCCACGTCACGACAGCACAGATCATGCCACAGCCGTCGCGGATGAACCAGACCCTGTCTGCCACGTCGGCCTCGGATGAAGAGGAGGAGGAAGAGTCGTAGTTGTCATTTTCGGTCAGGAGAGGATGGTGTTCGACATCCCGGAGCCGGTGTCCTGATGACGGCATGGTTTCCCTGGAGGGGCATGGGACACAGCTGGTGAGGCTCCCGGGGACACACGGTCACCTGCGGCTGGCCCCAGCCACACTGCACAAGGATGACGCGGGGCAGGAGCTAGACACCCTTGGCACCCAGGCTCCAAGCCCGGGCTAGACGAGGCCTGGGGTACCACGGCCCCATCCACGGTGCCAAGGCCCGACGGCCCGCAGCGCACACATGCCAGGAGCTGATGAGAGGCTGACAGACAAGGGGCTCTTTCACTGCTCGTTTCCACCCCGGCCCACGACCACAGAGCCCAGTTCTCGCCTGACTCTTCCCTGTTTCACTGAGTTCTTCACCCTCACTTCTCCCTCGTTTGAACTGTGACAACGTGCGACCATGTTTTTGAGGCAGTCTTCTCTAACTCTGTGCTGTTTCTAGAACGCCCTTCCTCTTTCAGTCTTTTAACGGTTTCCTTCACTTATCTGTTCTTTCGACAACTCTCCCATATTTCCTAATACCCGAGAACACACAGGGTCAGAAACTAAAGGAAAACTTACACTTTTCCTAGCAAACATTTTGCTCCTTCTTTAAACCTATAACCTCCTCTCATCAGTGTCTGATATGAGTAGAAATACTCATGATAAATAAAGAAAGGGAAACAGAGTCAGTTCATGTGGCCCTGTTGTTCGTGCAGGGGATAGAAAAACACTGATAGCACTTTATCAAACGACCCGAGGGCTTTCTCCGCTCAGGCTCGGCTTCTTTCAAACAAGCACAGAGCAGGCGACTGTGGTCTCCCCAGCGTGGCGGGGGAGGAGGGATAAGAATGCTCCTGGGGTCGGGTCTGCTACAGCTGATGCACGGCATCCGCTCTGGAACCCTGGCATTACTTCCTTCCTTAGCTGTAACCAGGGCACGGGAACGATGAGAACATTTACCGAATGAGCGAATCTGCGGATGGGAGCTCCTTCTGCAAATGTTTTGCAGGTTTCCCTCTTGATACAAAGATACTGACTAGTACAAGACAGCAGTGAAACTGTTCCCCGCAGCCTGCTCTTAGATCAGACAACAAGAGCTTTAAAATTACTGAAGTGAAGAAACTGAAGATAAGAATTTGGGCAGCCCCGAAGCAGCCATTCTTCAGCCAGCACATACTGGACCCGACGGCTGCCTTCCTGCCGAGGCCTCTGCCAAGCCCCTTCCCTCCGCGGAGGCCACCCGCCCTACAGCGCCCGAGGCTTCTCTCTGCCAAGCAAGTCATCCTGCGGAGGCAGTCCTCGTGCCTCTGAAGAGCACTTTGCAAAGGGACCCTGAACATCAGACACGGCTATCTGGAGAGGGTGCTGGAGCGCGGTCCTGTCTACACCACTGTAAAGCCTGATGCCGTCAGGGGGCTGAGACTCTCTGGGAGGAGGAACGGCGCGGCAGCTCCACGGGCAGTGCGTTCAGCACTCCCTACCTTGAGAGGGCGTCCGTGTCTCAGCCCCGGGCTGGCTGTCAGCCCTCGTGGGAAAGGCCTGGGTCTTCTCTCCGGGCTCCCCGTCGGGTGCCCGCACGCCCCTGGGCTCACGGCAAGTGCGCATCTGTTTACAGGCAGACGCAACAACGTGAACTGGTCCCCGTCTCAGATCCAGAGAGAGGCCTAGTGATGGCCACAGAAGTTTTTTAGTGAATCATAAATGTTCATCAGAGCCTTAGCTGAGAAACTCCCCCGACCAGAATCCCTCTGCTCTATGGCTACTCCTCAGGTAAGACACTTTCTATGAGCAACGGGTACCCGCCTGCTGGGCAGTGAGCAATCGCAGGGGCCACGTGTCCAGAGACAGGCTGGCTTTCTGTCAGAGCACGCTCGTGCAGCCCGAGTTCGCCTAGAAATCAGGACCTGAGTCTTCTGGACGCCTGACCCAGTCCCGATTAACCTTCCCGGCTGAGGCACTGATGACAGCAGCCGCAGGCCTCCCCGAGGGGTGCAGACGGCAGCTCTATTTGTGAGGAAGGGTGAGCGCACACATACCAACCCCAGTGGGCGGGAAGGGACGTTCCCAGAAGCACGTTAGGATACTGAGGCATCACGCCTGTGTGCTTCAGAGCTGAATTTGTAAAATCCACTAGGAGGCAAAGGGAAAACCATCTCATGCCCAAAAGTCACTTCATTTGCAAGAAAGCAATCGATGAACACGGCGAGGTTAGGCTGCACACGTTCGGTTATCTGTCATCAAGTGCAGGCACCTTCCGCTGAGTCACAGCACTTACACTTCATTAATGCAACAGGAAGGGAGGGGAGGAAATGAAGAAACAATTCCTTTACGCTCAACTCATCTAAAAATGCTAGGAACACAAGAGCAAATGGCACGGCAACTGGCGATGCGAAGCCAGGGCGAGGGCACAGCCCCACCCTGTGCTGGTGCCCGTCGCTGCTGACTGAATACTCCGCGTGATCACGTCTGAAGAAAACCTGAAAGCACTGTGCACCGACCGACGGTTTTTCTACTTTAATGTCCAGTTTAATGGGATTCTGCCTACGCTCCAAACCTGAGCTGTTTATCCTCGTGTTAAATCAAGCCCCGTTTCCCAGAACGCTAAGAGCAACATTGCAGACCTCCATTATTTAAGGGACAACCACTCGAGCAAAACCCTTCCAGTGGTTTACATTTGAGAACTCCCCTCATCTTGTAATACCTGCTAATAACTGATCAATTCCCTTCATGGAATCTTCCTCCAGGGACACACTCTCCTTTTAGCATAGGTGGTAAGCAAACCCAAAGACTATACGTGAAGAAAAAGATCTACTTGTCACCATTAACCATCTGAACTGCCCGTATATGCCTTTTCAAAGGTGTGCAAGTTAGTGTCAGCCGTTAGAGAGGAAACAGTGATTAGAGACCTCAATAAACAATCACTTACCTCACAAATTATTTTTAGACATTACTTGAACATTTTGTGTCTTTTCCTCAGGATCTTAAGGTGCATACTGTCCTATGTGGTAGGATCTGAAAGATAATAAAATCTGATTAGAAAAGTTACTTATTTTATGACCAAAGAACATATACTATTTCTCAGTGCATATGATCAATTTTTGGAGCACATGTAACCAGTGTGACGCTTCACACCTGAAGTTCCGTTACTCAGAACTATCTTTAACTATGAAATCATGACTCCTCCAGGTTTTCGTTACTAGTAAACTGCTTGACAATCCTGAAAATTAAGTAATTTATTTTAAACCTGTCCATTTTACCCTCTTGTTACTTCAGCCCTGGTCTTAAATACAAATCTCTAAGCCAAAATCCCTGAGAAAGAGACCCAGGGATAATCCCGACCAAATCTGGTCAACCTGCATTTCAACAGGCAACAACTGTTCACCGTTCACCAGCCACAGCAGAGGAATTACAGAAAAGACGAGAGAGAAAGAGGTGAGAGGTGCACCAGGCCCCGCTGTGGGAGGGTGCCCCGGGGGAGGGGGCACGGTGCACGAAGGAGCGGGTGGAATGAGTGAGGGGCATCCCAGCCTGGCAGCATCTCCCACTGGGTGGGCAAGCAGACGTAGCCTCCCTAGAAGCACTCATCTGGCCCAAGAAAAGAGGCCGGAAAACGCCAAGATGCGGGGTGTCCCCCTCCCAAAGAGGTCAGATTGCTGCCAGGTTTCTGTAAGACCGGGGCCGCCAGAGGACAAAGGACCATGGACGCAGACGCTCCAAGCAGACGCTCCTGGTACATCTCATCCTTAAATATGAACCAAGAGCCAACAGATGTTCTGGAGAAAGCTCAAACAGGTCTCATGGAAGAGCCCCAGAAAAAAAAGAAACCGGAATTTAGAGCAGGCATAATGCACAGAGAAGAAAACTAAAGAAGAGTTAAGAGACCATCTGTGAGACAAAGAGGAACATTCTGAGAACTTCCTAGTTATTGAAAGCTAAAAATATGATGGTAGAGTTTTTTAATCTTACAAACAAGATTGGAAGAGAGAATGGGGAAATTTCCCAGAAAGGAGAACTAAACAACAAAGGGGAAGGGGGGAAGGATAAACTTGGAGTTTGGGGTTAACATATACACACTACTATACAGAAAACAGATAACCAACAAGGACCTCCTGTATAGCACAGGGAGCTCTATTCGGTGCCTTATGATAACCTATACTGGGAAAGAATCTGGAAAAGAATAGATATACATATATATAAAACTGAATCAGGCTGCTGTACACCTAAAACTAACACAACATTGTAAATCAACTACAGTAAATCAACTAAAAAACAAGCAAAAAGAAGACAAAGACAAAGACCTTAGGAGAGAAAATAAAATGAAATCAGAGGACCAATCCAGGAGGTCCATCTTCCAAACAACAGGTCTGGCAAAGGCACCCCCGAACAAGACGTCCTTCCTCTGCACAGCTCCACTGCCACCCAGGCCGGCGGCCCCGTGTGCCTCGCAGCCTGTCCACTCTCTTTGCATCTGATATCCTTCCAACGTAACGTGTTTCTCTCAGCAAACCCTCAGTTGGTGTCTGTTTTCTGAAACCAAGACCCCTGACTAGGACACCAGGGGGCTGGCATGGAAGAGGGTGAGGGGACTGGGGGGGTCGAGGGGTGGGCAGGGTAAGCTCCCCTGGTCTCCTCCTAGTAACTGGAGGCTGCTCGCTGCTTCCTGACCGGGAGTGCCCCCTCCGCCGGGCCCAGCTCTGCTGTCAGGCTCCCCTGCCCACCCGACCCTACAAGTCTCCTCAGGACCCGTCCTCCCTCCACAAGGACCTGGACAGCCTCCCCGCACCCGTCACCGCCACCCTGCACACCAAAGGTTCCCTAGCCTATCTGTGGCTCTGAGTCCCCTCTGAACTTTTCAGTAACAAATGTGGCCGCGAGCCACAAGCTGCTTAGACTAACGGAGGTGACTTCTAAAATATGGCATTTCTATGTATATATATATGGTAACTTTATTCACGTATCTGTGCAGTAGCCAACAGCTTTAAACGCCAAATAACGTGAACCAGTAATGCCTAATTATGGCATACTTTCAACTTTGCATTCACATTCATTTTGAGTATCTTCAAATGAGCTTATGTTAGCACTGTCTTAAAAGAAAACCGGCTTTGCAAAACCCAGGACTGCCCATCGCAGTCCTCAGGTCTACAGCAGAATCTCTACAACGAGACCAAATCCCCAGTTACTTTTATATATTTTAAAAAATAACCAAAATGGCAACCACGTCGGAAAGCGGCCTGGCACTTTCTCAGTTAAACCAACAGCCGCCCTGTGCCTCGGCAATCCCACTTCTAGCTATTTACCTCAAGGTGAATATGAACACAGAACATGGACAGAGCTGTTCACAGCTCCTGCATTCATTAAGTCACCAGCCCTCAACAACCCGAACACCCCTCACCAGGAGACGAGTAAACAAACCACAGCATATTCACACAAGGGGGACTGCGGACGGATACATGCAACCATGTGGGTACATCTCAAAAAATCATGCTAAGTGAAAAACACAAAGAATATGTACAGTAGGAGTCCATCTGCGTGGCACTCTGAACCAGGCGAAGCTAATTTATTTTGAAAGAAATCAGAATAGGGTTGGAGCACAAGAGGGAATGACGGAGAGCCCAAGGTAACTTTCTGAGTTGACGGAAAGGGCAGCAGGCTACACAGGCACACGCACTGTCAAACCAAATTCAATGAGCTGTTAAAATTATACACTTAAAATTGTGCATTTCACTGTACGTGAACTATGCCTCAGTTAAAAAATAAACAGGAGAAAAAATAACCAGCACAGGTACACGTGCAGGTGTAAAAGGGTGTAGTAACAGCCAAGTTCTCAGTGCTGCCGAACCCATTCTCTCCCTACAGACACTGCCTTCCGAGCCAGACCCTGTCACAGTTTACTTTTAACAGTATCTTCGGGCAAGTGTCTTAAACTCTTCCCCTCACTTTTTTCCCCGTGTCTATAAACAGAAGATGCATTTCTCATAAACAAAGTGAAGACAAGTAAACAAAAGACATCAATATACTTTGGTGATCGGTTGCTACAAAAAAGAATGAAGAGCCGATGACGTTCACTGTTGCAATAAAAGGAAACGTCTACCCTAGAGCCTGGTATTCACGTGTGCGTTAAAACACTGCTTAAACTCATCACTGCTCTATTCATACGCCCACTGCTGACCTATAAGAAACAGGAATAAGCACATCTCTGCTTCAGGCACAGAAGCAGCGTGTGAGGCCTGGTGTGAGGCAAACACAGGCCGTGAGATGTGCTGAATTCAAACGTGGGGGCGGGGCCTCCAAGCTGCAGACTCCACGTGAGGCCCAAGGGTGCCCGACCTTGAACAGGCCCTCAGCCCACGAGGGCTCATGGGAGAGAGAGGCGGGGACCAGCCTGGTAAACAACGTGCTCGGTGTTATCCCCAGTGGCAGGCAGAGGGCGATGACGGAGAGAGATGACAATCGCTGATCCCGTCCAGAGGAACCAGAAGTGTCGGTTAGGACGGCAGCAGGAGTGGGCCCACAGGACAGGCAAGATCGCACAGGAGAGAGCAGTGCGGGAGGCACAGAGGCTGGAAGGGGAACCCGCGGGCTGCAGGGCCCCGGGCTCAGCGCGAGGAAGGGCGGGAAGGCAGGAAAGGGGAGGCCAGGGCCCCCGCACAAAGCACTCTGAAGGCCGAGCTAGGCAGCCTGAAATGCCGTACGTCATTCTGCTGCAAAGGGAGACTGGAACTTCGGTCAACAGACAAATGTTTTAGAAAGATAACTGGTGACAAACTAAGATTAGGATGGAAGGAGGAAGACGGGCAGCCGGGAGGCGGCTGCCATGCCCCAGAGCAGAGCTGACAGAGGCAGGGCCAGCAGGGGAGCGGGGCCTGCAGGGGACGAGCAGGGGCTGGGAGCAGGAAGGCTGGCTGGAGCAGACAGCACACCAAGGGGCCGGGACCTTCTCCCAGCAGTTTCGGTAAAGAGCCAAGAGCTTGCAGACTGGGTGGTGAGCAAACTAAAGAAGGAACTTTGTTTGAATGTGGTTAAGTCAAGGACACATGTAGCTGGAAGGAAAAACAATTTTTCAATTTCCCCTCTTACGTATTATCTCATTTAAAGCTACAATGGGGCCTCCCTGGTGGCGCAGTGGTTGGGAATCTGCCTGCCAGTGCAGGAGACACAGGTTCGAGCCCCGGTCCGGGAAGATCCCACATGCCGCGGAGCAACTAAGCCCATGCGCCACAACTACTGAGCCTGCACTCTAGAGCCCGCGCTCCGCAACGAGAAGCCACCACAGTGAGAAGCCCGCGCGCCACAACAAAGAGCAGCCCCCGCTCTCTGCCACTACAGAAAGCCTGTGTGCAGCAACGAAGACCCAATGCAGCCAAAAATAATTTAAAAAAATAATAAAGCTACGATGAACCTCTCAACAAGACAGAATTCTATTTGTTGTGTAAGCTGACTTCACCCTCACTGGCTCCCAATAAATAGAATTAACGTGGCTTCTGCAACGAATTTTAATTTGTGTAACAAATGATTGCTTTGTCCAAGTATTTAATTGATGTGATACGTTTTCATTTTTTATAAAACCCTTTATACTGTTCCAATAAATATCTTTATTAGTAAAAACAAATAATAAATAAAACAAGAGGACGGGACCAAGATGGCGGAAGAGTAGGACGAGGCGCCCACTTCCTCCCACAGGAACGTGGAAAGCACACCTGCACGTGGACGGCTCCCACAGAACAGCTCCTGAGCGCAGGCACGAGACCTCAGACTTCCCTCAGACTTCCCGAAGGGCAAGAAAACCTCCAGCTAGCCAGGTAGAACAAAAGGAAAAAGAAAGAGAAAGGAATGTAGACGGGGCCTGCGCCCCAGGCAGGGAGCTGTGGAGGAGATCAGCCTGGACAGGCGGCAAGCGTGGGAGCCTAGCAGGAGAGCACAGGAACCAGTCTGCGGAGGGCAGCACAGAGAGCAGCCTGCACAGAAGGTCGGCGCCGCCACCCTGCGCTCCCCGGCCTCAGACGCTCATCCATCAGTGCTGAAGCTCAGGCTTCGGAGGTCAGACCCAGGGAGAGGCCCGGGGCGGGATGCACGGAGACAGCTGAAGAGGCTGGACTGTGGCAACTGAGGGTGTGCTCGGAAGAAGCCGGGGCCTGTCAGAGAGCCAAGGCGCCGTACTGAGGGGTGCACGAGGAGAGGGGAGGGACCACCATAAAAGCTTCTTTCCTTACGAGCGCTCCCAGGCAACAGGACACTGCCTACAGGAGCTCTGGGTGCGGGCGCGAGTCACTGCCACCATCGTGGGCTCTAGAGACAGGCACAGGCCACCGCTAGGAGACCTGCGAGCAGCGCCAAGTGCTGCCCCTGCCATCCCAGTAGCGCACAAGGGCGGCTGCACCTGCACACCCCATTATCAAGGGAATAAAAGCCAGCAGGTGCTGAGGAAACAGACAGCCAGCGTCCAAACTAACAGCAGCCCCTCAATTCTGGAAAAGATGGCGGAGTAGAAGGATCGAGCTCATCTCCTCTCACGAAAACAGCAACATCACAACGAACTGCTGAACAATCATCGACAAAAAAGACTGAAAGCTACCAAAAAAAGATATTTTACATTCGAAGACAAAAGAGAAGTCACAATGAGACGGTAGGCTAGGTGCTTTCGTGCCAAGATAATTAACAAAATGGCAATAAGAACATACATATAATTACCCAAAATTTAATGGGATTCGTAATGGGTACAAAAACAAGACCCGTATATATGCTGTCTACAAAAGACCCACTTCAGACTCAGAGACATGTGCAGACTGCAAGTGAGGCGATGGAAAAACGTATTCCATGCAAATGGAAATCAAAAGACAGCTGGAGTAGCAATACTCTTAGCAGACAAAATAGACAT